CGGAAGATGGATCCATGTTGACGTCGGCCCACCAGCCAGGGCATTTGGAGATTGCCCGACCAGAGTATTCCGCCGTGCGGGAAGACCAAGTAATAAATGCCTGGTTTCCGAAAACCTCTTTCCTCCATGCCTTCTTGTAGAGCCTGTGGAACTTGGACATCTTGAGGTTCTTGTTGAAGGCAACGAGCGGCCGTCCTTGCACTGCGCCATCCTCGGCGGTTTTGGAAGGGAGGGGTTGCTTGCGTTGACTCTTGGTAATAGTGGGATCAGGATTATCCTTGGTGAGATCGATCAACGAGGGACTGGTGTGCGATCGAGCTTTGGCCGTGAGGCCAACCTGACCTTGGGCAACTTCAGATGGGAGGAGCGAGCGACCGTTCATCGCGCCATCCTCGGCGGTTTTTGAAGGGTTTCGCTTACTGATGCGCTTGGGAGTCGTGATGGCAGGATTGTCTTTTGTCAGAGCAATCGACGACTGAGTGGTCGAATTTGATCGGGTTTGTTCCTCGAGACCTCCCTGACCTTGGTCAGCTACAGTCATGATCGAATTCGGGTCCTTCTCCGGCGGGTTGATGATGCTATCCTTCATGTTGGCGTAAATTTAATTCCTGTTTCAACGACAACAACTGTTTTCCTGTACGTACGAAACGTGTAGGACTTGTACAGTTTTGTTTTGGAGAAGAGTGAGGAAAATATTTTCTACCTTTTAGTTTTTGATTTTTGATTTCTGAGTTTTATATCCAATGCTTCAAATACAGGGTCAGTCTTCAGGTTTGGCACGGGAATACATGAGCGATGACGCACAGTGGTATCAATGCAGGTGAGAAACTTAGCATTCTCGATCTCCATGTGATCAATACAGATGGTAATAGATCGATTATGTTGATACAGTTCCTCTGGTGGACTGAAGAAGTCGTTATCGCTCGTTGCCTACATCACAAAACTCAAGGTGTCAAAGTTTCACAGGCTCTACAAGAAGGCTTGGAGAAAGGAGATGTTTGCTCTCGCAACGGCCCAACCCGTTATCACTACTGACAAAAAGTCGCCTTGCTTTTGGGAATTTTCGCTCGTGTTCGACCCAACATAGATTGTTCAACGTGCCGAGCCGTTGACTTGGATGTGGCGAACGGCATCCAAATTCTTCGCTAATCCTGCTATCATTCCTCACATTGTGGAGGAATTTGAGCGACTAAAACGAGAGCTACAAATAGCCAAAGCTCAGTCCAAGTTTCCACCAAAACAAGGTTGGAACCAGACCGAACT